TCTTTGTGCTACTAGTGCTGCTTTAATTATGAAAATTAATCTCTTGCCAATTTTTGGTTTGTTCTGAACTCATTAACTTAATCTGCTCAAGTCAAATCTCTCTAGTTTCAGACACTGAAGTTTAATATAATGTAAGCTGGTGGGATTTGCATGAATAGCAGAAGTTGTATTTGCAAATTTACTGTTTATATTCCTGAAATTCAATGAAGTCACAATGAACATTCACAGATTTGAAAGCAAGCTATCAAAGAGCCAGCCACAAAGGATGATAACCAAGGAGATTTCAGTGCGTACAGTGGTCGAATCTAGTCAGCCTCGATTTGGGGCTATTCAGGCTGAAGAAGTGTTTAAACACACTACATCTTTTACAGTGCCAGAAGCAATTAGGAAATATCTGAAATACAGGGTATGTCCAAGAGTGATTGTGCTGCATTGTCACCTAAAAGCTTTTAAAAGTTTTTTTTTTTTTTTTTTTGTAAGCTGCAAATAGTTCCTTCAATTTACTAAATAGAGCTTTTTGCAGGAGCAGATCTGTTAATATTCAGCAAAAGTATTCAGACAAAGAAAAAGGCTAAGATGGTGCCTAAGAAAAAGTTTTCTTTCTTTCTATAAACCTTAAATTCTTCTAAAAAGTCAGTGATACGAAGTTCATATTTGCACTTTTTATCAGTTTGGAGGTCAGAGATAATTTAGTTGCATTCATACTAAGTCTCCTAGAACGCATAACCTGAAGCTTTAGCAGCTATTGTTATACAAAAAGTGTTGAAGAAATATTAAAAAAAAAAAAAACTAAGGTTAATTACAGGTTAATTTTCCCAGTCTGTGCAAGGCAAACTCTCTTCTTCATCCTCTGATTCCGGTGATGCTTCTTTAATTCGTCGCAATGCTTCATGGATGCTCCTTGTCAGAGGGTCAGTATCAGGCAGAATTGTAAAAGATTCTCTCAAAACATCTTTCTGCACTTTCTTCAGTTTCACGCCTTTCCTGATCTGTGCCAAGATGTTATTGCTATCATCATCTTCGTCAGGAAAAGGAGGGAGACTTCTCTGTTCAACTTTTCGCAAGTGAAAGCTACCACGCTTCAAGGAAGCCAATACTTCATCCATCGGGGAACTCACTGCAGTAAATCAAAAGACTTTCAGTATTATTTTTACTAAATTTATTCAGTCACAGTCTTCATTTATATTTCCTATAGAAGAAAAAGTAGCTACGTGCAATTAATTGAGTAGTTGGATAAGTATAAAGGAGACCAGTATTTTCAATTTCAGCATTATGTAGGCGTATTTTGGTTTTGGCCTCCACAATTATCTTCCTCATTACCAGGTCAAAAGTGGATTATACAAATCCCTCAATTATTGAAAGCAGAAAAGTAACAGTTACTATTTTATCACTAGTCCTTCCTTTCTCACCAACCTGAATCTAGCTTTGCGCAGAAATAAAATCAGGACTTAGCTCTTTGAAGAGCTGGAAGTAGGTAAGATCTCTACGTCAGAGAATGTAGCATAATACTCACGGTACAACACTGCACACCATGTAGCGCAGCACAGCACACACATCAACATATCAAATCAATAGATCAATATCCATCTCCAGTTCCTCTATGTCTGTTGTAGAATACTTTTTTAAAAACACTTTGCATTTGTGAGTGGACTTTGTCCATCTGACTAAGGGTACTTACAGGAATAGACAAGATAAAAAAAGCTTGAAATTGAAGAAGAAAAGGATTGTATGTTTGAAGGGGAGAAGAAAGGTCTTAATACATTCATTTGTCAAAGAAGAGAGACTTCTAAAGTGGTTTGGAACATTCTAAAACTTATGGAAAAACAGAGCAACAGGTAGAGGGCAGATGCAGGTATTTACAATCCTATCAAGAGGGAGGATATAATTTGATTTCATATTTGCTAATTTCCTCTACCCATTTTATATATGTGATAAAAGATAAACAGATGGCTAAAAATAATTAGTACAGAATCACATAATGAATTTGTAACAAACATATCTCCCAATTCAGCCTTGTGCTCTATTTTTGCATGACTAGTCAGAGCATAGACTTTTCTAGATAGCAATTCAAAAGAGGAATTGGTGCATTACAGTTAAACACATTGCAGCAAAAGGAGCATTACCTCTCCTCCTCTGCAAACCCTCCAGATCACCCGTCTTCTTCAGCTTCTTCTTGGCACTGATCAGCTGGCTGCTGTCGAGCAGGTGGGCAGCGTGGCCGCCGGGAGAGTGCTGCACGCCCTTCTCCTCGCTCTGCCGCTTCGCGAGGCTCTCCGGTTTCTCTGGGAGTTTACTGCCATCTTCCTTGGAAGGCAGCGGTGGGGGTGGCGGTGGAAGTGGCAGAGGCGGCGGAGGAGGAATGGATACTACTGTCACAGTCCCTGCTTGGAGCTCACTGCCGGCGCACAGAAAAGTCCCAGCATGGGACGTTTTGGAGGTAACGCCATTGGGAGGTAACAAAACGTCTGCAAGTTGTTCTAAGCTTCTGGGCTCCTGTGCTTGCAAAGGCTGGACTGTGTTTTCCAGCTCCACCTCCTCGCTCTTCTCTTGGGTTTGGATGGTTGCTGGCAAAGACAGAGGCCGATCTACAGGGGGTATCGAGTTGCCTGCACATTTTCTTCTTGCATGAGCCAGGCATAGTCTGGTTGATTTAAGTATTACTTGCCCAGGGTACTGCTGAAGTGAAGCATTTTTTTACAATTAGATAAGTACATGCAACACACTATTTTTGATATTAAGTAACTGTCATTAGGCTTTGCCTTTCTGATGAGCAAAACTCTTATTTTCTTTAATTTTGTTCTGGAGGTGAAAACAAAGCAAGTATATTCTTGCTTTTACATAAAAATGAGTCATTTTCTTAATTTTTATTCTTGGTTAAGCCACAACAGAGATCTGGCTGGTCTTTAATATGAAACTTGCTACTTAATAAGGTATCTCTTGAAAATATCAAACATTTTGAGAATTTCCAAAGTATTGTTAATTTAGTTCCTAAATTTGCAGTCTGTCTTTTCAAATTACAGTTTCACCCATAGCCATTCTTATGCAAAAGTAAAAACTGTTTCTTAAAGTCAGGTCTTAAGACATCTTAAACACTGTGGCAATCCCAAAGCAATAGAATTCATATTATATAAAGTTCATTAACAGTGCTGTTGTAATAAGTAACCTTGCTTTAGTTTACAGAGGCTGTGCAACTCGAGAGTCTTACAAAGAATAAGAATTTAAATGTTTTGCTGAGCAGTACAACTTTCCAGTAATAAAACCTCATACCAGCACTTTTTATATATTCAACACAAACAAAAATTGTCTTCATTTAATGCTCTCTGATTTTTGCACTTTCATCCCTTTCCTCATTGCCTCCCCTTCCTTCTCTCTACGTTCTATTCTTTTTCTGGTATGTAGGTCTAAAAATCAGTGGGAGTGAGGGGGGTTATGCCAAATGATAATGCTCTTTGTGTAAAATATCATTTGGATCATCCTTCTGCTAGGAAAGAGCGCTAAACGTCTGGTCACTATGCATATATATGGTAGGAAACAGAAACTTATTGCAGCACTGGGAAGCCAATGGCCAGAGAACTTCACTGCAACCAGTGTCATATTCTTTGGTAAATTTTCTACAGAACAGTTAATCACTCAACTACTTTTTATGCTCCTGGAATGCAGTAAAGATTTTCTCTTCAAAAGACAATGGAAGAAAGAAGAATAACTCTTCCTCCTTTACCTGTTTAAATGTGCGAAGTCTGTCCAGTGTTTTCTGTCGCTCTTGGCTAACCCAGGAACTCTTTCTTTCCTCTTCATCTTGTAGTTGATCTCTCTTCTGAAAAAATATATGGAAAACATGTAAAAATATGGAAAACAAACTCTACTTCCAATGCTATGTTTTAAAATGAAAAAAAAGGAAATAATAAAATAACTCTTCTAATAACTCTTCTAATTGTTAGGAACTTTCTAACAATCTCTAACAAACATATTTCTGAACTTTGAAGCTTTGCCCTTCTCCTTAAAAGGAAACAGCTATTATGCATTACATATTTTATACCCTTGAAGAAACATGAAATTCAATGAAGAAAGACTGAAGAGTACCGGAACCTTTTACCTTAAGAGATGATAAACAACAAAAGACATGGCAGCATATTATTCTGAAAAATAGTATAAACTAACATGGTATAAATTAGCCAGAGAGCAAACCAGAGCTCATTTTCTCTCATGCCAGGAACAAAAGAATAATAATCATAAGGCTACCCATTAAAACTAAGTAGTATTAGTCTTTTTATAGTGCAAGAAGCCACAGAACAAAGTGTCAAAAAACTCTGAATCTAATATTTACCAAATTCTTTGAAGAAAATTATTACAGATTCATTATAATAGTAACCTAAATTTTGTATTTAATGAACAAGTCATTATTTAATCCAGTCTGATTTTCTGTAATCTTGTCTGAATGAAGGTTTGAAGCTCTTCCTACCAGCCAAACCAGTTACATAATTTCCTTGTCTGGGGATCCTACTTCAGTGAAAACACTCATCTGGATCCACCTTCTTTAACTAGTCATCCATTTTCACAAAACGTAAGCAAAGTTACCTAATCTCTGAGGGGAAACACTGCTCTTCAGTCAGATTTGTTGCAGGTGGACACTAGTTACCAAAAGGGAAAACCTGCTGGATTTGTGAGTTCAGAAGTTATCCGGATGATTGTAAAGAAAACTTTCTAAGCAAAAAGAGCAGCATCGATTCTCAAGAAGCCCATGGCATTAAGTGTTACTATTAAGGGCTGATCTTGACCACTGACAGCTCCGACCACCTCAGCGCACGTTCATTCTCACCATTCATTTGCAATTCATTCTCACCATTCATTTGCAATTCTTATCTGGTTTCAGATTTGGACACCTTTGAGGTTTGTGTTTTTTTGTTTTTTTTTTTTTTCCATAAATGCAAGTGGCTGGAAGCCTATTTAAAATAATAGTAGAAAATTTCAGTCAAATTATTAATGAAAAAATTAGAAATGACATAAGGTTTTTAATATAATGCAAGCTGCCAAGTCCATGAAATAAATAATTTTTAAAAAAACATAATGCCTGAGAAGTAAGAAAAAGGTTCCAGCACTGTCAACTCTCATTCCAAAAGTGATAAATGAACTATAATCTATACAGCAAAGTCCTTTGCTTTATTTTTCCAAGTTCCTGCAAGAGTAGCCAGTTCGTGTTGTCTTTCAGTAATAGCCTTTTCATAACATAAATAATGCAGCTGACTCCCTGGACAAATATATCAATGTTGAAAATGCATAAGAATGAAACAGAATCACTTCACTAATCCAATTGAAGCCTGAATTGAAAAGACTTGGACTTCAGTACATCTCTGACAGTCGTCATTATTAAATATTGATACCCTATGAGCTTCTAGGACCTCGCCCAGAACTTGAATATTCTTTAAGATAAAGCCTATTATATACAATACAACAGCTGGACTATGCAGCTTACTTTCCGTGATGAGACTGCTCAGAGAAAAATGGATCGCATGTTTGGAACTACATATTTTACATAATACAATATTTTTTGTTTTTCTAAAAAGCCAGTGGAAAAAAAATAATGAACAATCTTAACTACCATGCAAAAATAATTTCATAAGGTTTCTTTCCTCATTTCAGCATATCCGATAATGAACTCAGAAGTCTCCAGAATCATTTATGTGCAAATGTTAACAAGCTCTGTATGCACCTCACAGTAATGACTTAGACTGCAAACCTGCTATTAATGGGACTGTTTTATTTGCTTAGGTTCAGTGTCATCCTAATAGAGCTACATACATACTCTCACTAGAATAACATGGTACAGAAGTCCATGGTCCAAAGGTCAAGGACATGCTTCATCTCTTTAAAGGGCTATCACTGAAAACTGCTAATGAAAGTATAATGAGGAATAGAGGCGCTTAGCCAAGGCTAACCTCACTAGCAGAGCACTCAGACTTACTAGCTGAACAGGATGGTGCAATCTGTACTGCTCCTCGCCCTGGTGACGCTGCTGGACCTTTTCATTATGCTTTGCGATACAGATCTCCTGCGGAGACACAACATGTTACCTATAAAACATACTGTATTTCAAATATCAATTTGCAATATGAAATGTAGCATTTAGCAAAATGCACTAAGGAAAACAGAAATTACAAAAGCGGTCTCAGACAACTGTTCAACCTAGTTAATTTACCTTACAAATAACACCGTGAAACATAAAATCAAGACAAAACCCAAACTTTTACTACTTTTAACTGCCAAAAGAATACATATAAGCAGCAGTTCTTGACAAGTCTGTTCTACTTTACCAGTAGGGAAGTGGCAAGACCTGATGATTTGTCAAATTGTTGGGGGATCATAAAATCCATGTGCAGCTCCGTGTATTAGTAAATGTGAATAATAGTAACTAAGTCTCAAATACACTATGTATTTCTGTTTATGCGACTAGGCAGCTTCCCATTTACAACAGTCAGTTTATCTTTTGCATGTACCACCAGTCTGCAAGTACAAACATAGATAAAACTGTTATAATTTTATGCACGCACAAACAGCTTCCCTTATTACACAGATTCCACATCTGAGGTGTCAGGTTCAAAAGCAAGCATTTGTTGCCTTGCCTGTGAACAGGAACAAACTCGAAAGGCAAGAGGATGAGTTACAATAGCTGACCAGAGCAGTCATGACACTCGAACTTCAGGCAGACTGCACAGGAAACCCAAACTGCACCAAACATCAGCTGCAAAGAAAAGGCACCTGCAGGAGCAGCCAACAGCTGGACCTTGCACAGGGCACAGGGCAGAGCTGCGGGCTGGGAAGCCGGGCAGCCTGGGCAAGGAAATCGGGCCCAAACAGGGGCACGTGCGGCATCAGGGGTATTGGCCCCCGCCTCATACTGCAGCTGGGCCAGAAGAGCCAAGGGGCTACAACTTTATGAAACATTTCCTGATTTTTTTCTACTTAACATCCATATTCAAATCTTTATGCATAAGAACTAAAATGCTAGATATTTTAAGTGTGTAAAGAAAGAGTATAAACTGGACCAAAATGTATTTCGTACTGACTTGAAAGGAATGACCTACATAATCCTACACCTTCCACTGAAGGAATGACCTACATAAATGTAATTAGGTTTCTATGACTAGAAACAAAGCAAAAAAACTAGCAGGGGCTGAATCCACGTTGCAGCACCAGATTAGAGTTCTGAATCATCTGCAGTAACTACAGAAAGGATCTAAAAAAAGGCTGCAGTTTCGTAGGGATAAGCACAGGGCTCTAATTGCAGGCAAGAGCGACTGCAAATAGCAGGGGAAGAAGAGGAGCCCTTCAGCATGAAAGAGAATGATCTGGAGGATGAAGGTGGGTGACCAGCTGACCGTAAATTAACAACCTTACACTGGCAAAACGCAAAGGATCGAAAGAAAAGCAGAAAAGGGGGTGATCGACCCTTCCACCCTGGTGAGGTGCCGCACCGCCAGGGAGCTCCTACACATGCAACGAACCTACCTCACATGGCTTCCCCAGCCACTTACAAGGAGGAAGAGCTTTCCTGTGCACATGGTAACTCGACTTCAAAAACATTTCCCCAGACACCTTCTGCGACGTCTCCTCGCCTCGTCCCGGGCTCTCCAGCTCCGACCGCAGGGCTGTTTGCAGCCAGCAGAGGGGGGACGGTGACAGCGAGAGATGCCGCCTGCACTCGAGGCCCTGCACAGGCCTTCCAAAACGCAGCACAATAATGAGACAGCTACTGAAATCTGGTTCTTGAGTAACTAGCTCATCTGCATCAACACACAGGAGCATCAGGAAATGATCGCTCCACAAATGCAAACGCAGGGCTCAGGGTGGCAAAACACGGGGTGTCCATCTCAGTAAAAGCACCGACTTCAGCAGCGCCGGCTCAGTAGCTCAAAATCACAACAGAACAAGGGCTCTAGCAAAAGAGCTTCAGCCAAAGCTTACAATTAAAAATGTTTGTTAAAATGATTTGACAGCAGAATTAAAAAATAAAAAGCATCAGGTGGAAAAAAAAAAAGGGAGATGATTTCTAAAAAGCAGAAGAAAAGAGCGTGTAAAGGGGGCACCAAAACCCCACCAACCAACATCAAAACGCTTGCTTACAGGTATGTTTTAAGAGTGCTAAATCAGGCACGGCCCGGAACCCAACCTGCAAAGCCCTGAGCAGACTCTCAGCCCACCAGTAAGCGTTCCTTCACATACTTTCAGGAAGGAGCTTTGCCACAGGGCCTTCACACTTCCCAAATCCACCCTCCACAGCTCATTCCTACCTCCACTCAGCTGCCACTCACAGCTTTGCTCCTCGCCATCCACCTTCCACTTGCACCCCATTGGCACACTCTGCATGTGTGAACTACCACAAACTCTTCCCAACAAGAACCTCGTCTTTTCACAAGTTTCTGAAGTGCAACTAAGCATAACAGCCACGGTAAGTAAGGTGCATTAACAACATCATTTGTCATACCATTACAATAGTAATTCAAGATATAATGCTTATTTTTGAACCAAAGATACAAGACTTGATTTTCCAGGTAAATTGTAGTAGCAGCTACAGTAAATACCTGAACATTCACATGAACATTCACAGAAATGGCTATGTTCTTTTCTCCCCAGCAAGTACTGTAAAAGGGCACAGAACAACTGATTATGCTTATTCTTTTTGCACAAATCAAAATCTTTGATTTCCCCCTGCAAACATTTTTTTCTGTTCTGTGTTTCCTTTGGTAGCTGAAAGCAAAGCAACTAGGGCATTCAATTGCAGGTATTTCTACTTATTCCACCATAAGTATGGAGCAACATCCAGCTTCTAGTAATTGCTTTATCTCCTCTGCTAGGCTTGAGATTTAGATACAGATGTATTAGTTATGAATGGGAGGAGATACCTTCACCCTGAGCCTGCTGAAACTATTTACAGAAGTGTGATCTACCACAGGATTGGGAATAGACAGGAATCATACCAGGCCCTGCTCCAAATTCAGAATGGGGTCTTAAAAAGAGACTTCTGTATAGACTTTTACTATATAGCACCAGGTGAAAACATATTTTCTAAAAAGGATTACACTGCCATCTCAGAATTTTGATTTATTATATTCATTAAGCTTCCCTGCTCATTAATAATGCATACTGATGTAATTGCAAACTGCTGGGAACGATAAACAAGTCATTCTGGAAAAAGGAATGAATGTGAGCGGAATGCTCAAGTTTCTGTATTCATCAATAAGGGGATTTCTCCACAGTTTGGCTGAAGAGCAGGACAAAGGGAGGGGAGAATGAGTGGAGCCATGAGCCGAGTGGGACAAAAAGAGCCATCTGCAAGGAGATGGGGGCCTTTACAAAGGAGGGAAATAAGGCAATTCCCCCACATTCTTCAGCAAGGGGGACAAAGGAGTTGGTGAGCTCAGGTGAGAACAGATGGCGGGAGGCCGGAGTTCGGTGTAGGCGGGCCGGGAAGGCTGTAACTTCTGAGTACCTTGGCCAATGGGGAAAAGGAGAGGGCGTCCCTCGGTCGGGAAATTAGGATAAAAGGGGGGCTGCGTCCCCCAGCAATTTGAGAGACCCCACAGGGATATGCCCGGTGGACTCTCCCTTTATTCGAATAAAGTTTTAGGACTCCTCTGTCTCCTTCTGGACATTCAGTTCTTGACAGCGAGATTTTCCGCATAAATGTATTTACCTACACTTGATATACAATTTCAAAACATTAGCCATAATACAAGAATTTACTGCACTAACAGTAAATAGCACAAAGTACATTATAACACTACGTAGTTTTACAAATTAAGAACATATATTGGATTTAATGTTTATTTGACGAATGCAGAAAAACAGAGAATCAATGGCACAATACCTAAGCTAAAAGAGATGAGAGAATGAAAATAATCGACTCATTAGTAAGACGATATTCTTGAAGATTGTCTTCAAATTAAAAATATATATATTTGCTCTCTGTAAACACATGCTACAATCTCCACATTAAAGTATTCTCATTAATAGAAAAGAGTAACTGTTGATCTCCTTTCCTGTTCTGCTCCCACAGTTCTAACTGATTAAAGGTTTCAATAAAGCTAAAGAAATATACTGAATTCTAAATATGTCAATTTGATAAAAACATACCATTGTATTTGTCTAGCAAACAGTATAAAACAACTTTTACTAAGTACTAAATATAATTCATGAAAACACTCAAGAGACTTAGAAGCTGTATCTGAAAAGCAATCCTCCCAAGTTTCACAAAATTTGTTAATTATGCTAGAATTTTGCAATTCAAAGTACCTTTTTATTTCTGAGGTAGGCTTTCTTGGCTGAAATCCGTCCACGCCTTGCTTCCAGCTGGCGGATTTTTTGTTGCAATTTCTGCAACTCCTCTTTCTGCAGATGCACAGATGTTGCCATATCCTCTTTTTCAAGCATGGCTTCCATACTTTCGAAAGTGTCATAATACACCACTTCATCTTTCTTCTCTGTTTTAAAAATGTCAGTAACAAAAAGTCAAATCAATAGTTTGTATTTGATTAACATTTTGTTTTTTTCAACAGCAAAATCTCCCCACTGAGTGGCAAGATTTAATGCAGAAGAATGTTAGAGACATTCAAGAGGCCAGAGTGACAACGCTAAAGGGCAACAACTGTAAGGCTCTAAAGTCAATATGAAGAACAGAAATCAAGACTAACGAAGCACAGCCTGTTATTCAGGTAAGCTCAAACTATTAAAAAACAAATGCAATTGTAAATGTATGTTTGTGTATGTGTCTTTGGGTTTCTTAACCAGCTACCTGTGATTCCCAGTAATACTCTGGTCTTCACTACAAAGTTCAGGACATACAGGCTCTTCATAGAGCCTTAGGCATGAGATTCCTCTTTCACAAACTTCTATTAATTTCATGGAAGGGGAGTTAGACAACACAACACTGAAAATTCTCTTTTAAGAGGTTTTTGACCTCCCAGTCACTGCTTCTACTCAGAGGCAGCAGTGGGAGGGCAACTTCGAGGCCACTCTTCAAAGCATTACATGTTTGAAAAGGAGGTCATTACATAACAGTTTTATCAACACTCAGGATTTTTAGCCTCCTGAATGAAGCATTCAGCATAACACCAAGCTCATCTCTAATGATGATGCTAATGCTGGCTTCTCATCTCTTGCCAAGAGGGAAAAGAATGAGAGCTATAAATCCTTGCAGAATGCCTGGATGAAGGAGAAGCAAAGGTTTCTTTTTTCCCATCTCAGTGGCAAGCTGAGCGGGCTACGCACTGCTACACACCAAGAGCGTTATCAATGCACCACTGTCACCTTCTCACTTCTCCTAAATCACCTGTCTTTCAAAAAGGCTCCAACTTCAGCTTCTTCCTACTCCTGCCCCTAGAGAGGGGCAGGTTTGTTTTTCAGAGCCCTATCCATTTTTTAAAAGTTGTCATTCATGTTACTTGTATGCAAGGTCTCTGCTGCTATCACAACTCAGAGAGTCACAGAACAGTATTCAGATTGTACTACTGCTACTTTCAGCTCGGCAGAAGACATGATGATACTAACAGAAAAGGAGGAACAGGAATATATTAATCCTAAATAAAAACTAATAGAAACAGACCTACATGAGTCTTTACTTCTATACATTCAGTGTAAAAAATGACTACTTCGTCCATAGTTAAATAGCCAAGTCATTAGAACTTCCTTTGAGACATCAGTGAGTAAAAAACAAAACAGAAGATCCCTTCCTAAAGAAAACATATAGTCGAGAGAAATACAGGAATTTACAAATGAAACCCTAATAGCTCAGCTATAGACCAGTGAAATAGCAAAGCTCTAAAATGGGATGGTTAACAGGGCTTAGAAATGCAAAAATGTCTGAGAAAACTTGGCAATTCTATTGCGTCCCCCATCAAAAATTCCAAGTTTTCCTCAGTGTTTGAGCTTTTGAAATTAATATAAATTTGGCACATGGTTAAACTGATAATAACTCAAACACTTAAAATAAACCAAATAAAATAATTCCCATTTAGGCAAGGTCCACTGCATTTGCATTTCTTTAAAAGAAAAAAAAAGCACAACCAAACAAAACAAGAGCCATCTAAAACCAAAACCAAACAGCAATCAACTACCATGTTCTCTGTTGACAGCACTGCAATTACCAAAAATAAAATCCATCTTACATGATGCATCGATAGTTTGCATGGATAGGATAAGACCCTTTAAAATTCTAACTTAGTAAGTTTACATTCTGAGTATTTAAATGCTGCAGTTTCTAACACCGCAGTTTATTATCATTCGGCACTTTTCAGATCCATGTGCTGAATTTACAAGAAAATGTTCAACTCCTAACTTTGAACTTGCAAATGCAAGCTGGCAGGCAAATCAAATGTGCCTCTCAAAAGCTTCTCAGCTGGGACTTCATCCTGCTCTTCTGGCAATTTTGCATAGATCAGAACAGAATCCAAACTCTATGATAAAGCACTGCAGAGCCAATAGAGTTAATGAGAAAAGAACAGCAACAACTGCTACAAGTCTCCAAAATGTGTATACTTCAAGTCATACAAATGTGTTCAATTAACAGGCTAGTATATGCTCGTTAGAACTACGCTTTAGAAAGGAAGAGCAGCAGGAGATGCAAGGCAATCGTCCCTGACTCTGGAGGAAATACCACATATAAAAGATCTCTACATTTCTGAGAGATGCCCTCACTCAGACTAGATAGAGAATAGCTTGGACCTGGCCATTTAAATGTAACATTTTTCACAACTGTTCTACCCCCACCTCCCCTGAGTAAATTCCAAAGAGATAATTTCATATCCTACAAACAAAATTCCCACGCGGTTAAGAAAGGCATTTTTCATTTTCTATCCTATGGGTATAGCTGAAAGTTGTTAAAAGTGAGCGGAATGCTCAAGTTT